GTTCTGGCCAGGTGATGACTATGTTAGACAAGGCCAGAACTCCCAGGATGAGGGCTGAATCTTCTGAGCACACAGCTGGGGCCAACTACCAGATGCCCTCACATTCATGACCGAGCAATGCAATCACAGGAAATAGTAAGAGAACCCCTTCCTTCTGGGACATTGCTGTTGTGTTCCCTGCAAAAGAAGAATGCATAGAGAAATTGGCCCATTAGTGTAGAGCATGAGTTGAATGGTACTAAGTAATGTGATTTGGAGTTTCCTTGACTGACAACCGATGTACAAGGTTTCCTTGCCTGTGCTCATGGTATCTGTGGTTAGATACTCTTTGAATATTAAAGTACACTGTGGTTCAAACAGAACAGCCACTGCTATGCTATGATGCTGTCATAGTCTAATAATTGAAGACTTCTTGGGGTGGATGTGGGGATTTATTTCCTCCTGAGGATTCCTTCTGTGTAATATTTGGACCTAAGCAGTGCTTGTCTATAACAGTGTAGTTTTCCTGCCAGCTGCCTGTGCCCTGCCACAGTTTCAGCCCACAAATAACACACAAGACACTATATTAATTATGAAGCTGTTGACTGTTTTCTTGGTTTCTTACTGGCTAGCTCTGACTTAATTATTAACCCATAATTGCTAATTGAGTATTTTCATGTGATCTTCTCTTACTGGAGGAAAGGTCCGAGCATGTTACTTCTCAGGTGTCCTACATCGTGACTGACTGTGCCTGTTTCCCAGAATCCTCCTCGACTCCTAGTCCTACCTATCTTGCTTCCCTATTGGCCAACAGTGCTTTATTTAAACAACCAATAAGACAAGCACATATATACTGAAGGACTTCCCCCATCAGTTGTCTTCTTTGTGGTGGAGGTATGAGAATTTCACTTATCTACTCAGACCCCTTCTACACCAGCTGTACTTTGGAAAGCTTCGGGATGAGCCAGGTTTTTCTTGTCTATTGGTCAATTTCTGGCTTTCTCTCTTGGGAGCTGGATATAGTGAACAGCACAAGTTATCTGGCAGGGTTTCTGTATTGGTTATTTTTCTGTTGCAGTGATGAAGCAGAGTCCATTGTGGTAGGAGGCAGAGCAGCAGGCATGGTGGCCAGAGAAGGAAGCTGAGAGAGCTCATACTCTTGACTGCAAAACATGAAGCAGAGGAAGCAAAAATTGGGAGCGAAACAAGGTTTTAAATTCTGCCCCATTAGAGCCTGGCGTTGGTGGCGCACGCCTTTAATCCCAGTACTCGGGAGGCAGAGGCAGGCGGATCTCTGTGAGTTCGAGACCAGCCTGGACTACCAAGCGAGTTCCAGGACAGCCTCCAAAGCCACAGAGAAACCCTGTCTCGAAAAACCAAAAAAAAATTCTGCCCCATTAGTAAGGTACTGCCTTAAGCAAGAGTGCACTTCATAAACCTCTATAGACAGCGCCAGCAACTGGGTACCAAGTGTTGAAGCCTGAGCCTATGGGGCGTGTGTGTGTGTGTGTGTGTGTGTGTGTGTGTGTGTGTGTGTGAGATGTTCTCATTCAAACCATCACCATTTCTTCCTGAGCATCTTCATAAGAAAATAGCAAGTTAGCTGAAGTTTCCTCCCTCTAGATATTTGTTCCCTGTGGATCCCAGCTCATTTCAGATGAAGGCTGTCACAGAGGTGAGCGGGTTCCCTACTGTCTTAAGAAAGCGTCCAGCGATAAATGATTTTTGTTAGAGTAGAACACATCACACAGAGGAGTGTGCTTTTGGTATGTGAGAAGAATATATTTGCAACTTGGTGGAAGAATTTAACATTGAAATGTTGCAAATCACAGCACAAAACAGATCAGAAAGATCTGGATGAGACATTCTTGCTGGCACAGTAAACCAGCCTCTCCTTTTTTTGTGTGTGGGCAAATCAATATTTTTACAGGTGGAAATACATTTTCTTTGTCAGCCAATGCATCCTCTTTCCCTTGCTCTTACGTGAAATTGAATGTTTTCCAATGCTCTGATTAAATTGCATCTTGCTTGAGATGCCACTTGCCAGGTCACTTAAGAATATCAATACTCGAGGAGAGGGTAGCCATGCATCTGAGGGAAGGTGAATAAAAAATGACAGAATAAAATCTTGGTGACCTAATTTTGTCTGGATGGCTGTTTGGCCTGTATGTCTGTGTACCACTTGTGCTCCGTGCCTGAGGAGGCTAGAGGACGGCATTCGATTCCTGAGTCTAGAGCTACAGATGGTTGTGAGCTGCTGTGTGGGTTTTGGGAATCGAACCCGGGTCCCCTGGAAGAGCAGCCAGTGCTCTTAACTGGTGAGCCATCTCTCCAGCACCATTATTTGTGTTTTGAGTTAAGGTATCGTGTATCCCAAGGATATACAGCTAAGGATGAGCTTAAAATCCAGGTCCTCCTGCTTCTGCCTACTGAGTGCTGGGATTATAGGTATGTGCCAGCATGCAAGGTGTTGTGTTGTTGTTAGGGATTGAACCCAGAGCTCTGTGTATGCTCGACAAGCACTCTACACACTGAGCTGTACACAGCATTGTGTTTGTTTTATAAATGAGTATTACTTCTTGCAAAAACAACCTTAGAAAGTGTTTGAACAGTTTTTTTTCTTTTTTAAGGATTCCTTTTCTCTATCTCTATGTTTTAATCCATCGGTTGTCTTCATATCCATTTTTTATCTTTGACAAGAAAATTTAAAAAAGATTCAGTGTAAGGATGATAGTCAGTTGGGTTGGCAGAGTGAAGCATGATGGGAGAGAATTTACAGCTCGGGAGGCTGTCAGTTTTGTCTTTTAGCTTCCGAGTCACATGTAACAGCTGGTTTATCTCTTCTTCCTTTCACGGTCACTTCTCTAATATTCTCTAAAGATTCCCGTAAAAACGAAAACAAAACAAAAGCAAGATTTAGACTGAAGGCTTCTCCCCACCTTTTAATGAAACATTTTTCATATGCTTAGGCCGGCGGTCTGCTATACAGAAAGAGATAATTATGAACTTTTTTTCATCCCTCACCCTTCTTCTTTAACTTCCCAAGTGCTGGGGTTATAGCCACGTGCCACCAGATCTAGTTTTGGAATGGGATGCAGGCTTCACGTATGTTAACCAAGTAGTTCTTCAACTGAGCTACGCACCCAGCCTGAGAGCTCCAAAATGCACACACTTCTCTCTGCGAACCCTACCTAGCTGTGTAAGGGTCCTGTGTTCTTTTCCTTTCCTTAGACCTTGGACAGGCCAGGGCTGTTGTGGTAGGCAAGGGCGTTCCATTTCATTCAAGAACTGAGGAAATCGGTGCCTCCCAGCTGTGTCTTCAGGAACAGATGTGGCTTTCTAATTGGAGGCTATCTATGACAGCCATTGGTTCTTTCTGTCTTAGCTGATCTCGGCCACTCCCTTCACCTGTTTGTGTTGGGTGCAGCATGCAGTTGAAGAAGAGCGGCTGCTCAGGGTGGCCCTGCTAGGGACCTGGATGAGGGTCACAAGTCTGTCCTTGCAGGTGTGCATAGGACGTCAGTGTCTGACCCACAGTTAAAGCTCACTGTGTTGTCATGAAATTATTGCCCTGGAAAACTTAATGAAAGAGCATATGACAGGATCAGGGTCATTCGTGACTGTATATCCCACTGGTCAGGATCTCTTTAAAAAGCCTCCTCCCACGCGTTGCATGGCAACAATAGGCAACACTTGTACATGCGACTGAACGCCGTTTCAAACAGAGAAAGGACCAAAGAATAGTACAGACTGGTTAAAAAAAAAAAAAAAAGGAACCTGTGCCTTTAAACAGGAAAGAGCTGGGCATTTTTCTTTAAATGACATCAAAATTACCTGTCTATTTCTACCTGCAGTGAAATGGAGTTTGCATACGGAACACAGGTTGGGAGTTGGAAATTGGAGCATTTTTTTTAAGTAGCCGTCTCTTTGGAAAAGCTATTTTTTCTCTTTTGTACAGTAATAACTTAAAAGACACCCAGCAAAATTAGCCCGCCCCATGAGCTTTGTGACCCAGTCAATGCTTGTGGCCTTAAAAAGTGATGGTTATTACAGGTCTGGTGGCAGGCTTATAATCCAGCTACTCTGGAGGATGGCAAAATCAGACCCTGTCAGGGTCATATCACGGAGAAGTTCGAGTCCAGCTTGGGAAGCTGAATGAGAAATTAAGCTTCTGTCCCAGTATGAACAGTAAGGCTGGAGAGACGGATGGCTCAGAGGGTATAAACACCTGCCTCTGAGCCCGATGACCTGAGTTCAGTCCCTTGGACCAAGATGGTGGAGGGAATAAACTGAAATGTTTTATGAAACTTTTAAAAAATGTAAAAAGAAGACACTGGCTATAGCTCAGTGGAGGAGTGCTTCCTAGTGTGCAAGAGACCTAGGTTCAAAGCCCAGCACCACAAGGAGAAACAGCAAGGGGGCTCTGTGTATGTGCTGGGTGCACGTGTGTGTGTGTGTGTGTGTGTGTGTGTGTGTGTGTGTGTGTGTGTGTATGAGAAGTGTCGGGAGGCTCAGTGCTCCAGTCACAGAGGCCAGGGACCCTGACTCCAGCAAGGGAAGATACCCAAGGACAGACTTTTTCCTCTAGCTCCCCAAGCACCTTTTAATTTAGTATTCCTAACCAATGCATCTCCCTTTACGTCATCCCTGGGATGCTGACACCACAGAGGGCTTTCTTGGGGGCATCCGTGCACATAAAAGTTTTGCCTGATTCTAGGCTCCAGATTCCTTTCACTTTGTGGCCCTGCTGTCTCTTACTTTCTAATTAAGGGTGAATGGAGCTGGGACCCTCCCACTTGTGCTTGGTTTAGGGCTAGGTGGTCTGCAATAAGAGTTTCAGAAGAACTTAGTGGGTTAGCTAAGTTAGAGGATCTGGATGGAAATGAATTAATGAACTACTTGTAGTTGGACATTTTCTCAGTGCTGAGGACTGTAGTCGGGATACTATGGGTGAGGCGATTACCACTGAGGTACATCTCCATCCATACCTTCTCTTCCACGTGTGTTACTGTAACAGATACTAGGAAGCCAAAGGCTTGGAAAGAATAGCCACTCACACCTCACAGTTGTGGGGGCTGGAGTCAAGATCAATGCTCTGGCTGATCCGTGGTGTCTGGTGCGCCCACCTTTTTGGTGCATAGGTGGCTTCCTTCTGTGTTCTCAGTTGGTGAGTATGGTGAGGGTCCTCCTGGGACTGGTTTATAAAGCTACTGATCTCAGTCATGAAGTCCCTGTCCTTAGAATGTAATCACCCCCAGTCCCCCCACATTAGATATCCAATTTCAGTGTATTGACCTGGGGATACAACATCGAGGTTGTTTCGAGGGTCTGTGTCTTTTTAGTGGACACCCTTGCAGACTGCATGTAGGAGAAGTCAGGATGGGCAGCTGCTCCTTCCAAATGAGCAAAGGAAGAACTACAGTCTATCCAAATCCCTTCCAGTTTAGAGAGACGAGAGTCAGAGGGCCAAGAAGTCAGGGCGTGCACGCTATGCAAGCAGAAGCATATTGGAGAACATCTTCCAGTGGGGAGCAGACCTGCTTGGGAGAAAGTCGCAGCTGAGTGCAGAGGCCTCCTTCATCTCACCAGCCAGGCCAAGCTGTCCTTCTCTGTGTGGATGTAAGTGACGGGAAGCAGATGGTCAATAGACTCTTCCCCCTGACAAGGCACACACAACACGAGATGCAAACGTCTGACAAGTAGATACGGTCATGGAGAGAAAGAAAAAGGAGGACTCCTGTTTCTGAAGCAGAAAGCCTGAGCCCCGGTTGACTGACTAAGTGACTGTGAGTTAAAAAAAAATAATTCTCGGGTTTCATCAGAATCAGACTGGGGTGTGCTAAGGGAAGCCTCTGCTTTCAACATGGGAAGTAGGGGAGCCAGTGGCCTAACTCCAGGAGTCATCTCTCCAGAGGTTTCGCAGTGGCTTCACCTGGCTGTCAGACGTGCTGTCTGTTGCAAGGCAATAGTTGAACCCACAAGATTAAAAAGCAAACAAACAGAAAATAGTACAAGGATGAAAAGCAGGGAAAAGAGTCACCACTTTAGATTGACTTTTTAATGAGCTCATCTTGAATTTCTGACACATTGTGTTGCAGCTGTGGGAGCCAGCGTCCAGATGTGCTGTATCTCACGTTGTGGTTACCTTCTGGGCTGTTCGGTCCCCAACAGAGCTGTGGCAACAGAGCTGCCAGGCATCAGCATAGCAGGTGCTGCCAGAGATGTGACAGTTAGTTGTTCCAGATCTGCCTGTGCTGGTGGTGGTCCTAGGATGGTTGTGCTCATACTGTAGCAGGGAGCCAGGCTTACAGGGGTTGGGAGTGTTCCTACTACAGGGCAAGAAGTGGGTGTTTGTGAGTGCAGTGGCTTTCTGAATTAGGTTTAAATGGAGTCGCATTGATTTTTGTTTGTTACTAGTAGGCAGAGGCTAATCTGACTCTCAGGGGAGAACTATGATGTCACATGTTAGGGCAGCTTAGCATGCTGGGATGAAACCATAGCCTAGAGTGTGGAGCTGAGTAGTCTTGGTTAAATGCTGATCATGGGACTGGCAGTGCATTGCCCAAATGGGGTCCCTTTATCAGATCATGTGACCTGTGTGGTGGCTTGATCATTCTCCGCAGCATTTCATTTTCTGAAAATGCATTTATTTGTATTTTATGAACATTGGTGTTTTGCCTACATGTATGACTGTGTGAGGGTGTCTGTGTGAGGAACAGGAGTGACAAACAGTTGTGAGCTGCCATGTGGGTGCTGGGAATTGAACTGGAAGAGCAGCCAGTGCTTTCAACCACTCCAGTCCTCCATCGCATTTATTAGCCTGTTCCAAGGTCCCTAGATTTTCTGAAAACTGATACATCTAGAAGCTAATTTCTTAGGAGACATTTTGTCTCATAGCCATACTCTTAAAAGTGCAGGTAGAGTATTCGCATCTACATTCAAACTGCTGTACCCAGAAAGTTTGCATTTAGCTGATAAACTGGGCTCAGATCACGATGACTATTAAGAGCCAGTTTGGTAGCCAAAGGAGAAATGATCTTTGTAAGATGGCGTTTTCTGAAGAAAGATTTTCTTCCATGGGGTTTCCTCCTTGAAGTACCTTGTGCTGGCATGGAAGTAAGTGAGAGGGAATGTTTAATGGGGGAAAAAAGACAGGCTAACACTGCAACACACCACGATTAGAGACAGAAACTGCAGGCTCTGATCTGAATTTGACCATGTTTTAGGTGACCTTTGGAAAAATTGTTTACTGTCTTAGGATAGTAATTTAACACACTCAGAAAGAGAAAGCAGCGAGCGAGTCCAGCTTCAGGTGAGATTGGGTCTCTGGCGGGGACTGCCCGCCCATCACCCATCCCCCTTGATCTTCCGGGCCGCTCCCGGCATCCAGAAGACCCACCCACACAGGAAAGACATCAGCCCTTCCAAGATCCCAACCCCAGTGAGTCCAGCTTCAGGAAAGACATCAGCCCTTCCAAGACCCAAACCCCAGCGAGTCCAGCTTCAGGAAAGACATCAGCCCTTCCAAGAACCCAACCCCAGTGAGTCCAGCTTCAGGAAAGACATCAGCCCTTCCAAGACCCCAACCCCAGCGAGTACAGCTTCAGGAGACCTGCCCACACAGCAAAGAAGTCAACAATTCCAAGACCCCAACCCCAGTGAGACCAGCTTCAGGAAAGACATCAGCCCTACCAGGACCCAAACTCCGTGTCAGCATCCCCAGCTTCAGCTGCAGGAAGGAAGGAGACCAGTGGAGATGGAAAGACCCCACCAGCACCCACTGAAAGAAGAGATGGGAAGAAGACAGAATAAGAGATCACTCAGCAATAGAAACACCAACATGACCCCACCAGAATCCAGGGATCCAACACCAGCAAGACCCGAAAAGCACTACATAGACGAAGAAGAGGAGACAGACCTTAAAAATTATTTCATGAAGATGATGGAGACCCTCAAAGAAGAAACGAGGAAATCCCTTAAAGAAATAGAAGAAAAAACAAACAAAAAATCCATGAAATGGGGGAAAAATTCAAGAAATAAATCTCTCAAAGAATCTAAAGAGCACCAAGAAAGAACAACCAAAAATTTAAGGAAACAACTCAAACAGTTGAAGGATTGAAAGCTGAAATAGAAACGATAAAGAAAACACAGAATGAAGGGATGCTGGAAATAGAAAAGCTGGGTAAACGATCAGGAACTACAGATGCAAGTATCACCAATAGAATACAAGAGATAGAAGAGAGAATCTCAGGTGTTGAAGACTCATTAGAGGATATAGAGTCGTCAACCAAAGAAAATCTCAAAACCAACAAATACTTAACACAAAATATCCAGGAAATATGGGACACTGTGAAGAAGCCAAACCTGAGAATAATAGGTATAGAAGAAGGTGAAGAAATTCAACTTAAAGGTACAGAAAACATATTCAACAAAATCATAGAAGAAAACTTCCCTAACCTAAAGAAAGATATGCCTATGAAAGTACAAGAATCTTACAGAACACCAAATAGGCTCGACCAGAAAAAGAAGTCACCTCGCCATATAATAATCAAAACATCAAACCTACAGAGTAAAGAGAAAATATTAAGAGCAGCTAAAGAAAAAGGCCAAGTAACATACAAAGGCAGACCTATCCGAATTACACCTGACTTCTCAATGGAAACGATGAAAGCCAGAAGATCCTGGACAGATGTCCTACAAACGCTAAGGGAACAAGGATGCCAGCCCAGACTACTATATCCAGCAAAGCTCTCAATTACCATAGATGGAGAAAACAAAATATTCCATGACAAAGCCAGATTTAAACAATACGTATCCATGAATCCAGCTCTACAGAAAATGCTAGAAGGAAAACCTAGAGCCAAGGAAGATAACTACATTCACAAAGACACAGGCAATATATAATCACACTTTACAAAACACCAAAAGAAAAAGGGAGGAGAAACTACACAAAATAACTTCACTAACAATAAATCAAGCACAAACAAGGATCACCAATCAATGGTCATTAATATCCCTCAATGTCAACGGCCTCAACTTGCCTATAAAAAGACACAGACTAGCAGAATGGATACGAAGACAGAACCCTTCCTTCTGCTGCATACAAGAAACACATCTCAACATCAAAGACAGACGTTATCTCAGAGTAAAGGGTTGGGAAAAGATCTTCCAATCAAACGGTCCCAAGAAACAAGCGGGTGTAGCAATCCTAATATCTAACAAATTAGACTTCAAATTAAAATCAATCAAAAGAGATGAAGAAGGACACTTCATATTCATCAAAGGAAAAATACATCAAGACGAAGTCTCAATTTTAAACATCTACGCCCCAAATACAAAGGCACCTACATTCGTGAAAGAAACATTACTAAAGCTCAAAATGCACATAAAATCTCACACACTAATAGTAGGAGACTTCAACACTCCGCTCTCACCGCTAGACAGGACCTCCAGACAGAAACTTAACAAAGAAACAAAAGAACTAATAGAAGTTATGACCCAACTGGGTTTAACAGACATCTATAGAACATTCCACCCAAATACAAAGGGATATACCTTCTTCTCGGCACCACATGGAACCTTCTCTAAAATTGACCACATAATAGGAAACATAGCAAATCTCCACAGATACAAAAAGATTGGAATAACCCCTGCATCTTATCAGACCACCATGCATTAACATTAGAATTCAACAATAACACAAATCGCAGAAACCCTACAAACTCATGGAGATTGAACAATGCACAATTGCACCATCCCTGGGTAAAGGAACAAATTAAAAAAGAAATTAAAGACTTCCTCGATTTCAATGAGAATGAAGACACAACATACACAAACTTATGGGACACTTTGAAAGCAGTGCTGAGAGGAAAGTTTATAGCACTAAGTGCCCACATGAAAAAACTGGAGAACAGTCATACTAGAGAATTAATAGCACAGCTGAATGTTCTAGAACAAAAAGAAGCAAACTCCCCAGGAGGAGCAGATGCCAGGAAATAATCAAATTGAGGGCTGAAGTCAATCAAGTAGAAACCAGAAAAACACTGAGAAGAATCAATGAAACAAAGAGTTGGTTCTTTGAGAAAATCAACAAAATAGATAAACCTCTGTCCAAACTAACCAAAAGACAGAGGGAGAGCATGCTAATTAACAAAATCAGGGATGAAAAAGGGGACATAACAACAGACTCTGAGGAAATCCAGAGAATCATCAGGGCATACTTTGAAAATCTGTACTCCACAAAATTTGAAAATTTAAAGGAAATGGACAATTTCCTGGATAGATATCACTTGCCAAAACTAAATCAAGAACAGATAAACAATCTAAACAGACCTATAACCCCTAATGAAATAGAAGCAGTCATCAAAAGTCTCCCAAATAAAAAAAGCCCAGGCCCAGATGGCTTCAGTGCAGAATTCTACCAGAAATTCAAAGAAGAGCTAATTCCAATACTCCTCAAAGTATTCCACACAATAGAAGCAGGAGGCTCACTGCCAAACTCTTTCTACGAGGCTACAATTACCTTGATACCCAAGCCACACAAAGACACAACTAAGAAGGAGAACTATAGACCAATTTCCCTCATGAACATTGATTCAAAAATACTCAATAAAATACTCACAAACCGGATTCAAGAACACATCAGAAAAATCATCCACCATGATCAAGTAGGCTTCATCCCAGGAATGCAGGGATGGTTCAACATTAGAAAATCTATCAATGTATTCCACCATATTAACAATCTGTGAAAGAAAAAACACATGATCATCTCACTAGATGCTGAAAAAGCCTTTGACAAAATCCAGCACCCCTTCATGATAAAGGTCCTAGAGAGATCAGGGATAACAGGAACGTACCTGAATATAATAAAAGCAATATACAGTAAACCAACAGCTAACATCAAACTAAATGGAGAGAAACTCAAAGCAATTCCTCTAAAATCAGGAACAAGACAAGGCTGTCCACTCTCTCCATATCCCTTCAATATTGTACTTGAAGTTCTAGCTACAGCAATAAGACAACAAAAGGAGATAAAGCGGATACAAATAGGAAAAGAAGAAGTCAAACTTTCACTATTTGCAGATGATATGATAGTTTACATAAGTGACCCAAAAAACTCCGCAAGGTTACTCCTAGAGCTGATAAACACCTTCAGCAATGTGGCAGGATACAAGGTAAACTCAAAAAAATCAGTGGCCCTCTTATATACAGATGATGAAGTGATTGAGAAAGAAATCAGAGAAACATCACCCTTTACAATAGCCAAAAACAGCATCAAATATCTGGGGATAATGTTAACCAAGGAAATTAAAGACCTGTATATCAAGAACTTTGTGTCTTTGAAGAAAGAAATCAAAGAAGATACCAGAAAATGGAAAGATCTCCCGTGCTCTTGGATTGGTAGGGTCAACATAATAAAAATGGCAATCTTGCCAAAAGCAGTCTACAGATTCAATGCAATCCCTATCAAAATTCCATCACAATTCTTCAAGGACCTGGAAAAAACATTAATCAACTTTATATGGAAAAACAAAAGGCCCAGGATAGCTAAAACATCCCTATACAATAAAGGAACTTCAGGAGGCATCACCATACCTGACTTCAAGCTCTACTATAGAGCTATAGTCCTGAAAACAGCTTGGTATTGGCACAAAAATAGGCAGGTAGACCAATGGAATCGAATCGAAAGCTCTAATTTTAACCCCCACACCTATGAACACTTGATTTTTGACAAAGAAGCTAAAACTGTACAATGGAAAAAAGAAAGCATCTTCAACAAATGGTGCTGGCATAACTGGGTACTGGTATGCAGAAGACTGCAGATAGATCCATGTTTATCGCCTTGTACAAAACTTAAGTCCAAATGAATCAAAGATCTCAACATAAATCCAGCCACACTGAAACTTTTAGAAGAGAAAGTGGGAGATACTCTTCAACGAGTTGGTACAGGAGACCACTTCCTAAACATAACACCAGTGGCACAGGCACTGAGATCGACAATTAACAAATGGGATCTTCTGAAACTAAAAAGCTTCTGTAAGGCAAAGGACACAGTCAAAAAGACAAAAAGGCAGGCCACCGAATGGGAAAAGATATTCACTAACCCTACATCTGACAGAGGGCTAATATCCAAAATTTACAAAGAACTCAAGAAACAAGTCTCCAAAACACCAAAGGATCCAATTAAAAGGTGGGGTACAGAGCTAAATAGAGAATTCGCAGTAGAGGAGGCTAAAATGGCCAAGAGACACTTAAGAAAGTGCTCAACATCCTTAGCCATCAGGGAAATGCAAATCAAAACAACTCTGAGATACCATCTTACTCCTGTCAGAATGGCTAAAATCAAAAACACTGAAGACAATTTATGCTGGAGAGGATGTGGAGAGAGAGGAACACTACTCCACTGCTGGTGGGAGTGCCGACTCATACAGCCTCTTTGGAAATCAGTATGGAGATTCCTCAGGAAAATGGGAATTAATATACCACTAGACCCAGTAATTCCACTCTTAGGCATATATCCAAATGAGGCAAGTTCATACAACAAGGGCCTCTGCTCTACTATGTTCATAGCAGCATTATTTGTAATAGCCAGAACCTGGAAGCAACCTAGATGCCCCTCAACTGAAGAGTGGATAGAGAAAATGTGGTACATTTACACAATGGAGTATTACTCAGCAGAAAAAAACAATGGAATCTTGAAATTAGCAGGGAAATGGATAGCACTGGAAGAAACCATCCTGAGTGAGGTAACCCAGTCGCAAAAAGACAAACATGGTATGTACTCACTCATATATGGTTTCTAGTCATGGATCAGGATAGTGCCAGTCTGCACTTCCACTGATAGAGAGTCTGGGAAACAGGAAAGAACCTAAAAGATATGCATATATGCATAGTACCCAAGAGAAGAGGATTGAGACAAGATCCCCTGAATGGATGGGGAACAAGGTGAGGGGTGGGGGGGAGTGGGACCTGGGAAGAAGAGAGGGGGTGAAGAGGAAGAGAGTTGGTCATGGGGGAACAGGAAGTTGAGGGGATGGGGGTAGAATAGGGGGAAGAGGGAATCATAGGATCGAATACAGATCAGGCACCAGAGCGACCTCGAGTGATCTAAAGGGATGACACCAATTGGCAAGCTAAGCAATAGTGGAGAGACCACCTCGAATGCCCATTCCTGATAATGAACTTGATGTCTATAACCATCCTGGAGTCTTCATCCAGTGACTGATGGAAGCAGAGGCAATCACCCACAGTTAAGCACTGAACTGAACCCAAGGAACCCAGTGACAGAGAGAGAGGAGTGATGAGCAAATTGGCAAAGAATGGGCTGGCAAAACCAGAAGAGACAGCTGACCTGAACAGGGGAGAGCTCTTGGACCCCAGACTGACAGTGGGGAGGCCAGCATGGGACTGATCTGGACCCCCCAAATGTGAATGTCAGCGAGAAGGCCTGGGCAACCTATGTGCTGTGGATCAGTGTCTATCCCTGGTATACAAACAGTCTTCGTGTGCCTATATCACAAAGAGGGATGCTTTCTCAGCCTGGACTCTTAGGGGAGTGTCTGAACCCTACCCAGGGTAAAATGACAGACTCTAGATATCCCCTATGTGGAAGGATTTGGCAATAGGGTGGGAGGGTGGGGGGGAAGGGGAGTGCGGGAGGAGGGGAGGGAGAGGGAACTGGGATTGACATGTAAAACAAGCTATTTAAAATTAAAATAAAAATGATATAAAAATAAAAAAAAAGAAAGAGAAAGCAGCACTGGGTGGTGGTGGCACAAGCCTTTAGTCACAGCACTTGGGAGGCAGAGGCAGGTGAATCTCTGTGAGTTCGAGACCAGCCTGGTCTACAAGAGCTAGTTCAGGACAGCCTCCAAAGTCACAGGGAAACCCTGTCTCAAAAACAACAGCAAAACAGCAACAGAGAGAGAGAGAGAGAGAGAGAGAGAGAGAGAGAGACAGAGACAGAGAGACAGAGAGACAGAGAGACAGAGACAGAGAGACAGAGAGAGACAGAGAGAGAGAGAGACAGAGAAGTACTTACTTTTCAGGGTGAATTTTATGACTCAGATACTGCAGTTAGAAACATGTGCTTGACTCAGAGAATTCCTTTGAATAGTATTTGTTCCTTTAGTTTTGCACACAAGTATGTTTGTACAATAACTTCAAGCTCAGCATGGAGCCAGGGGCTCTGCCTGATGTTAAAAGGGATGCAACATAGCACATTGATTCAACACAGCCTATATTCCCAATCACTGTGTCTTAATATTGAGTTGGAAATGGGAGTTGTGTCCCAAAGGAACGCCAGCACAGTGGGAACACACACTTGCACACACATCCACCTGTGAACATTTAAGTAGACCTGAGTATCAATCCGGGCCAGAGTTCTGTGGTCGGATTCTCTGCTCAGAGTTGGCATGATGAGAAAGCTCTACGGGAGGTAGGACCAAAGTGAAATTAGAAATCTGTGGGGGTCATTTTCAAAAGTTGGGAGGACTGCCAAGATCACTGTAGGACTAGGAGTCTATTAAGTAAAGGGGTAGAAAAAAGACTGGTGAAAACAAGAAACACAAGGGGTTGGGTTTGTAAAACTAGATGAGATGGAGGAAGGCATTGGGTCTGTCTGGGGTCCCCCGGGGCCACAGAAGGGAACTTACTGTGATGATGTAGGGATGAATCAGAGCATGGTCGATGGTTGAGAGACTCCTGTTAAAATCCCGCTGTGAGGAGATGGAATCTCTGCTGAGTTCTTGCTCACGTACGTTTGTATCATGAAAATGTTTTTATTGAGCTACAAGAACACAAATACATCTAATGTTGACAATATGCTGCTGTAGATTCCTCCAAACCTTTACTTTTTTTATATTGCGTGTAGATAAAGTGGCTTATGGTACCAGGAACATGTAGACCAGGTTCCCCTACCCCAGTTTGAAGTGCAGGTTGTGAGTTAGAGTGGACTTAATAGTTATTGTTATTATTATTATAGCATTTTGAAGATGAGAAACTAATATTCCAAGGCCATAAGCAATTTCCCAGAGGCCATTTAGAACATACTCAAGTTTAGATTGAAGCTTGCAGTTACTGTCTGTAAATATGCTCCGTTGCAGAGTTGTCTTTCTCAGTGAGATATCTGAAGTACAGCAAGTGTGCCACTGTGAGAGCCTGTTGCATGAAAAATCAAAGACCCAGAGACAGATATTGGTGTTCAGTCTTCAAGCTGAAGATCAGAAAAGCAAAGCAGCCAAGCCACTCGCTCTTACTTCAAGCTCAGGCTGAAAGGGCCGATCCATGCATGAGCTCTTCACCAAGCCTCGGAGTGCTGCCTCATCTCAGCATGGCTGGAGAATCCTGAGACTTCAATGTCTTACTATCCTCCTTGATACCCAGCCTTCCTGTCTTCAGTGTGGCTGGAGGATCAATGGCTCCTGTCTTCATTGTGACTGGAGAATGAATGCCTCCTACTGAATACCAAAGACCCTGCTTCTATCTTTTATACCTCTTTAGCGCTGGCATTAAAGGCATGTGATCTGTTATTCTTTTGGACTGATTCAATCTCATGTATCCCTGGGCAGCCTTGAACTCAGAGAGATCCGTCTACCTCTTACTCCTGAGTCCTAGGATTGAAGGTGTGTACCACCACCTCCTAGTTTCTGGCTTCTGGGAATTAAAGGTGTGTGCCTGGCTTCCATGGTTTGTGGCTGACTTTGCTTTCTGAATCCTCAGGCTAGCTTTAATAAATCATAAATAATGTATCACTACAAGAGTCAAAATGGAGTTCCTGTGGGCGAGGCTCTGACCATTGTACATAATGTGTGCTTAGCCAACGCCAGTGAAGTCACCAAGTACAGTGCCTAGAGGAAGAGTCAGGTCCAGACCGACTTCGCAATGGTGGCTGGATAAATACCACCCCCTAAGAGCATTCATCAGCTTGCTTATGTGGTCCAGAGCTATTGTGTGGCTCACCTTGGAGCCCGGGACAGTTGGATAGAGTGAATGGTGGGGGCGGGGCTGAGAGGAGGAAAGTGCTGTTATCCTTGCAGTCTCGTCTCGGCATCTGTCTCCTGGTGACCCTTCTCCATCACAGGAGTGATGCTATGATCTTCGTCTGGCTGCATTTTGGCTCCTAAAGGCCTTTTACCTTCTGGATAATAACTATTACTCAACAGTTCCTTGTGATAAATTCAGGCCATTTTCCATCTCAGGAAACCTAGTGGAGAGATTAAATGTCTTCATCACTGTCACTAAGCTGATGGAGCAGCTTAGGCCGGTGAACTGCAAGCACCGGTAGAGCAAGATATTTTATAGGGACAGGGTGTTCTGACATTAATTGTATTTTGTGAATGTGAGTTTCTTATGTCAGCCAAAACAAGCCCGCGGTTGAGAATGTGTGGCTTTGGCTGCCAATTTTGTGGAGTCAGTGTAGTGAGAGTGAGGGCCAGGTTAGGGGATCAGAAAATATTGAATTGATTTTTGCTGCTTTTGTTTTAATCAAGACAGTCTCACTACCTGTCTTAGACTGTCTTAAGCTTGGGGATTACAGGCGTACACCACCATGCCTCTCAGTCTTCAGTAAGTGACTAAGTTGTGATGAGTGCCTAAGTAACAGTGTGACTGTTTGTGTTTTTATAGATTTAAAACAGAAGCGTTACTCCTTATTATCCCTATATCCTTGTCTTCTGCTATGGGAAAACTGAACGCTGGAGAATATTATTTAGGCTTTGAACACTAGGTGGCAGGCGTGCTCTTGCTAAGATTTGATGAGCTACTATGCACTTGACAGAGAAGATGGCTCTTTTAATTAAGAGTCATTCCCCACACAGGATGTTCACACTGAAGCAGTCATCTATTTTCAGTCCCCAGGGAGCATGTTTTCACGTTATTGATGGCTTGGCCGGGGATGATTTTGTATAGCCCTTTAATTCATTTCGGTAATGGAACAGAGTCACCGGATCCTGGCCTCCCACTCATCCCTGGTGAGGAGCTGGAGATAGATTAATGTGAAACTTAGAGCCCCGATGTAACAGGAGTGCTGGGGAGGCAGAGGCAGGCAGAACCCTGGAGTTCCATGGCTAGAAAGCCTAGCCTAATTGATGATTATCAGACTGAGTGACTTAAACCTAACGTGGAGAATGTCCTAGTTAGCAATAACTCAAGGTGTTGTTGAGAGCTAACTGAACAGAGTCTCAGTGGATTAATTATCTTTATCAGGTTGATATGTGGGTTTGAATATGGGGAGTGGCTTAACTTAAATGGTAAGGAGGTTCCAGTCCACTGTGGATGGCACCTTCCCTAGGCAGGTGGTCCCGGGCTTATAAGAACGCTAACAGATCATGAACTGGAAGCTAGCCAGTGAGCAGTGCCCTTTCTGCTCCAGGTTTCTTCTTGAGTGCCTGCCTTGGATTCTCTCAAGGATGCACTGTGTCTTAGAAGTATAACCCAAGCAAGCCCTTAAGTTGCTTTTGGTCAGCTTTAAAAAATATTTTATTTATTTATTATGTATATAATCTTCTGCCTGCATGCCAGTGGAGAGCACCAGATCTCATTCAAGGTGGTTGTGAGCCACCATGTGGTTGCCAGGAACTGAATTCAGGACCTCTGTAAGAACAGTCAGTGCCCTTAACCACTGAGCCATCTCTCAGGCATGGTCAGCTTTGTTTTTTTTAAATCATAGTAATATAGATTAAATTATAAAAGAAAACAATTGAGGGAGACACTCAGCATGAACCTCTGCCTTCCACACACCACACACATCTATCTATCTATCTATCTATCTATCTATGATCTATATATCTACCTATCACCTATGCATCTATCATTCATTTGTCTATCATCTAGCAATCATCTGTCAATCATCTATCATCTGTGTCTGTCTGTCTGTATGTATATATCTATGTATCTGTATCTATAGCCACCAGTCTCTCTCTCTCTCTCTCTCTCTCTCTCTCTCTCTCTCTCTCAGCTTTAGCTGCCGTAGTATCACAGCCCACTGATATGGTTACCGGATCACAGAAAGGGCTCCGCACCCCAAGAACTTGGAGTTCTGTTTATCCCAGTAAGATATTTATGGTTTGTCACAGGTTTCTCTTGGCATCTCCAGAGGCTAAAGTGTCACAGTAGTGTGAGTGTCACCTTCAGCAGTTGGCAGTATAATTCTGTGTTGTTTATTAGATTCCCAGAAGCAATCAACAAGGTGCTGGGCATGAAGCACTGGGCTGAGTGCTGCTGAGAGAAGCCCAGGCCCTTGAGTTCTCAGGAAGGGAAAGCTACAGTATGTGGGGGCATAAAAACTTCACTGAGTGGTGAGGGCTGACTCAGCAGAGGAGGAGCATGATGCGTTGATCTGGAGGTTCCTAAAGCCCATTTAGTGTGTTTTACAAACTTGCCATAGTGACCCAGGCTTACTGATTAGGAAGGAGGAGTCAAGTCTTTAGTGTCACTCTTCCTGGATGGGATGTGGGTCACTCTGTCGGTGGCAGGGGCATGCTGCATTTCTGGGGATGCTGATACCATCCAGGTCCCCGGCAAGAAACAGGCTTCCCTTCATGGAGGTCACACTACATCTCCAGGACACAACAAGAATAGATTAAAAACACATTGTGAATAATCACCCGATCTGAGTCAGTCACATCCAAAATTAGTCAGCGTCGTAGGGAAAAATTTCAGTTGAACTTTTCATTGTTGAATAATTGTAATACAAAATAAAGTACAAAAATACATTGATTGATTATAGCTTTCATGTTTAGGATTGTGTTTTTAGTTGATATAGGCTTTCCACTATCTAAATGATGACATCACATTATTCTCCTTAAAATGATGAATTCGTCTTATGTGAGTTTCCCTTCAATAAAAAAATCCATAAAAAGAAGATTTTTTTTCTACTGGAAAAAGTCTCCCGGCCTGAGATATACAAGTCTAAAGTGTCCATGTAAACCAGTCAATGTTTTTCTAGTGTAAGTCACTGAGTTTTTATCTGCTGTGTTCTACTCCACCTCAGGTAAGCACATTTAGAGTTCTGTATAAAATATAGGATGTGTGATGAGCTGTGAGCTCGTCACATTCAGTGTTGTCCGCTTGTCCTTGTCCTTACTCAAGCTCAGAAGTATCTGACTTGAAAACCAATATTTACTTCAACCTTCTTTCAGTTGCTAATTAATGGGCACATTGATCTACAATGCAAAAAGGCAGGACATAGGAGGGAGGCCTTTACCCAGGGCAGCTAAAACATCTCTCTAGAGCTACAAGCCTCGATGTTTTGCATGCATCTGGGGGGGGGAGGAGGTCAGGCTCGAGAGACGAGCTCTGGTATTGCACGTTCAAAAACTCCACAAAGCCAGAAATAAACACGCATTTTCCCAAAGTACAAAGTAATCACAGACATTGTTAGAGTCTGTAATTTTTTTTCTCAAGGAAGAAATCTCATAAATATTCCTCTAGAATTTCATTGTGTGTTTGTAACTGGTGCAGAGGTGCAGTTGTTGGCAACCGTCAATACTTGTGACATCGTGCCTCTGTGATTTTCCTTTTCAAAGCCATAAGAAGCTTGGTGCAGTGCTCACAATGTGCTTTGGAAAGAACATTACCCAAGGCTGCTCGGATGCTACAAGAGAGACAGCGGGATAGGTGGAAAGGAATGACTGTGATGGTGGCAGCTGAACTCTTAAGGAAAGTCGTCAGAGGGCACATGCCACCCATAGGATGCACTTGAGGAAGTCCCTGCCCTTTGAGAAATCATACTTCATATTGTTTACTTAATTATTACCAAAACAAATTTCTTCTCCTTTTTCTTGTTTGTCTGTATGTGTGCAGCCATATGTGTCTCGCGTATATTTGAGAGTGCATGCCGGAGACTGATGCGGCGTTCCTCTATTGCACTCTAATCTTTGAGGTAGGGTCTCTCACTGAACCTGCAGCTCACTGATTCAGCTAGGACTGGCTGACAATCAAACCTCGGAGTCCTTCCTCTCTCTGTCTTCCCATTGCTGGGATTGCAAAAGCACCCCACGGCACCAGGCTTTTGCATGGGTGCCTGGGACTTGAGCTTAGGTCTCCATGTATGCATAGCAAGCCCCTTAACAGCTGAGCCACCTTCCCAGTCTTCCGTCTCCTGTTTTTTTTTTCTTCTTCTTGATTTTCAGTAACTAATCAGTTATAAACAAATTAGATAACACAGCCATGCCATGTTTCCCCGTGATTGATGGGATAAGATGAGTTTCCTGGCTTTCAGCCTTCACACTTAGACTTCTTTCTTAATGAGAAGGGTTTTCAGAGATAAAT